TCGGACAAAATGTTTGAGGAAGCGTTTCTTTTTGCTCGTTAAAAGTAAGCTTGAAACCCAGACCTGTGGTGACAATTTCAGTGGTGTGAGCTTTCCGAGCTGGTGCTTTCAGGAGCTGGTTAAGGCTGGCAGAGGGTTGTGGTGATCAACCATGGAATGGAGCCATTCCCCTGGGAGCATGAGGAGAAGCAATCCCTTTGAGCTGCGAGATAGTCAGCCACGATTACGGGCATATAACCAGGAGACCTTCTCATTAGATAAGACACTTAACAGCTCCTTAAGTATAAGGGACGCAGTTACTGACGTCTTGAAATACGTACAGCTTCCCAGAAATGCTGGGGAATAAACATCTGCCTGCAGTAAATACAGCTTGGGAAATGAAACCCGCCAGGTGGGAGGTGGGTAGAGAGGGAAATGCTTCGCCCCGGTTTGAAATAGTCTGGATGGGTTTGGGTTACGGGTTTAATAAGTTTTACGTACAAAATCAGTAGGAGCTCAGTGTCACCGTGATGAGAGATGGTTAACTTGTTGCTTTTACAGAAAGGGAGAATGTCTGAAGAGAGAAGATAACAAAAAAAGACACCATATTTTAAAGAAAAAAGCCTAAAAAAGCTTTCAGAAATAGTTACAATGCAATTTCATTATCAGGAGCTAACTTTTTTTTTCCATGGGAGGCTGTTAAAGATAAGTAGTTGATGATGTTTTGCAGACTTAGATCTGTTCATCTGCTGTGCTCTTTTTAGAGTTTCTCATTGAACCCTTTCAACATAATAGTGACAGGTATTCTTTCTGTAGGGTTTCATATCCTTTCTGCATCTGCTGCTCACCTTCCTCCCTGCCCTCTGATAAAGGACTGTGTGGTATAAATTGCCATGATCTTTTCTGTGCCAACAGTGCAAGGTTGTCTGTTCAGCTATAGTCCTCGATAAGATATAAAAAATCTTTCCCATACCTAAATTTAATGCCTTCTGCGGTGGAAAATTGGCAGCAGAAAGTAATTCTTGTTGAGGCAGTGTGTGAGATGTGCTGCTCAGTGCTCGGATGTACTCCCCAGTCTGTGGCTGAGACATCACTGGCATGAGAACATTTCTGTTCCCTTTGATATTAGTGGGAATGGGGACATGAAGGTCCTCTGGTGTGCTTTGAAAAACTTCTTGTTTATAAGATTAAAAAAAAAAAATTACCCACACATCTTTTTGTCAACTGAACTCGTAACTCCAAAGACAGTTTCTTTGCCTTGACCTTTCTTCGGTGCTGTTGTTGGAGCCTTCCTCTAGGACCTCAGCATTAAGTGATAGCTCGTGGCTGGTTGTTCCTCCCTGTGTTTCTCAAGGGTTGATCTGAGCAGCGAGAACATTTCCAGCAGAAAACAAGATTTTGAGGCCAGATTTGATGCTTTCAACATTGCTGAGCATATAGGATTTTGGATGAGAACCAAGTGAAGGTCACCATCACAGGAAGACTAGCAGGAGACGCTGGCCAGTCCATGGCTGGCTGCTCCTTGATAAGATGTCTCAGGGCACGGAGGATAAACTGAGCAGTTAGGTGTGCGTTACTCTATATAAAGAGCAATTTTTAAAAAGGAACATTTTTTTTTTTCTTTTTTTTTAAATCAGGATTAAAATGAAAGTTTTTACTTAGAGAACAGTTTGTGTGTTCTTGGATGTGTCATACCCAAACTTTTTTTTTTTTTTTCTTCAGTGCTTATTTGTTTTGTGCTAATAGTACCTTATACCTTAATCCTTTACCGTTAGCAAAGTACATTTGACAGTCTTCTATGGAAATTTTGTCCTTAGTTACCCAGATAAATTGTCTGTTCGTGTGTTACAGCTGCAAAAAAATACATAAAAATAATATATCTAAAGTCTTATGTTTTGCCAGCTGGATTAGAGTGCCCTGCCATTATGGGACAATAATCATATGTTTCAACTCTTGCCTATTACTAGGAAACGAGAAAGGAACAAAACAACTTTGGCCTTTCCAGTATCGTGTGTCTTGTATTTCCACAATTTCCTAATTACAAGAAGCTTTTTGTTGCCGTTCAGAGAACAGCCATTTTAAGACAAGGAGCTCGTGCTTCATATGTGGTGTAGGAGAAGCTCTGGCTGTTGCATGTTAAAGCTTTTGTTACTCTTCTGAGCCTGGGGTGGGCGTTTTGCACCATGACAAGATGTTGAAATCATTGACTGAATTTCCAACACGTTGTGCTACAAGCTTCATCCCTTCAAAGGTAGGAAGTTTGGAGGGATCTGCTTGTCTTCCTTCCTTCTCTGCAGCGACGCTCCTGTACTTGATGCAGACCAGCTCTCGTCTTGTTCTGAGCAACACCATACACCAACAGATGTATTTTTCATTAGATAGTGGTAGTTAATCCAGCCCACAGATGGCACACGCCTTTTAACTGTAGCCGTGCAAGTTTGCACACTCCAAAACCTTCTGAAGCCATGGCCTGGGGCCCCTGCAGTTGTTGTACGTACAGTACTTTGTCTCTTTGCTGCCATCATCTGTGCCCATCTGTTAGGATGGCCTCCTGCCAGTATATATTTTAGGCAGATCTTTCCAAATAGGCCTGGATAGTGTGTTTGTATGTTTAATATGCTCTGGATGGCAACACGCCATGTCTTCTTGTACAGATCTTCCGTGCACGTCCTCGTTGCTCAAAGGCATTGGGGGCAGGGCCACATTCAGCACAGTTGTGTTTGTAGATACTTCCACCCAAACGCTGGGGCTACTGTGTCCACTAGTTTGATGATTAAAAAATTTGTTTTAAAAAAATGGAAAAAAGGTGGGATTTTCAGAAGTTACAGACATGTGAACGGATTACATCAGCTCAGCATTTGGGACAATTGGGAGGGGGCATTTCGTCGATGGAAATATGAGACGCAGAGGGGCACCCAGGTGGATCAGGGAGAGGATGGGCACTTGCCTGCATCTTGCAAAACTTGCACTGCTTACTTTTGGTGCACGGCTATCCTTTTTAGTTAAGGAAGGTGATTTTTCCTTTCAACAAAGCAGTTAGAAGAGGAGATCCCATGCGAGAACAGATGTGGGGAGACCAGTGCAACGTATTCTTTATTTGGACGGCAGTCTCTTGCGGTAACAGAAGTGCTTTTGTGCTTCCTACGGCTCAGTAGGAAGAGCCTTGCACTGTTTTAGTTACACTGTCTGGCTCCACCAGTGAGTTAGTACAGGTAATGGAGGAGTATTGTGCAAGTTGCAAGTTCATTGAGTGAAACCTTCGGCATCTGCTTTCACTCTGGGCGAGTCCCACACGTATCAACACTTTCTCCTTTTTGCAACCTCATCAGAAGTCTTTCCTTTATGTCTGCCTATATGGTGTGTTATTTTTCATTATTCTTTAAGTCAAAGACTGTGACAACCATGGATTAACTACCTTGTTGCGTTGCTCATTTCTAAAGCATTACACTCCATAGCACTTAATACCAAAATCCTTGTCATTACTCTCCCACAGGCAGAGAATTTGTCACTGAGTGAGCTCAGCTATTCCCTTTTTCTCTGATCAGCTGGAACCTCCATTCAGACATGCTCATGTATTCAGGACAGCATGGTTTTGCTTTACGGTAATCAAGAGGAGGTTAGGGGGGAAGGATTGGTTTGTAGCCCAGAGACCTAATTTGGAGTCATTCGGAAGAGAGACGGTGCCAGAAAGCATTTGGTTCTTGAATACAGATTAGTTCTTCAGGAATTGATCCAAAACGTCGGGAGAAATTGTGTTTTGGGCAGGGGAGAACTCCCTATTTTTGCTTTGTTTTTCTCTGAATGTCTTAATGATGTCCCCTAAGAAAGCAAGTAAGCAACAAAAACAACAGCACTTTGAAGAAGTGATTTCTCTTGGGGCGTACTTCTTGAGGAAAAAAATAGTTAATTAAATCCTAAAGCCATTGTACACTTGCATTTTTAAACCTGCTGTATAAGTTTGGCTGGCAACCAAATTAATAACCCATTAAATCATTACTATGATATTAAAGGTAATATACCAAGTGTGCTCATTGGCATGGTTTACTGGGGCCCAATTGGTGCTTTTTTGTTGTGTTGCTGCTGCCAGTCAGTACTGAAATCCTTGGTTAATTAAAAGAACAAATTTTTATTTCTCGTACTTTTTTTAACCCAAATGCTTTTGCCCTTCATAGAGAAGTAAGAGGCTTTGATCTGCAAATACTGTATTTCAGCAGTGCATCTGGAGCTCATTTCTGGTTGAAGCTTTTCAGAGCATCGTTCTAGGGCTGCAGCTTTTAGAGTAGGGGGACATTTTTCTGAGATGAAAGCTTAGGCTCAAGAGTGACTTTTACCAAATTAGAAGGTCACGGTTATTAAACATAAAAAGCAGCAGTGGAGCTTGCTAGTTGATAAATGCTGCTACTCAGAATGATAGAGCTACTGTATAACCCTGAGAAAGGCTGGTCTGAGGCGTAATCAAGCCAGAAAGCAAAATCCTCACTTTTTTTTTTTTGTTTGCATAAGAGGTTAAATTGTTCTCTTCTATAACTGCCTTAGTTTTGTATTTCAAATGCAATTGATTTTTTTCATGCCTTGGGACAAATCAGCATCCCATTAAATAACAAAACTTACCCATTCCTAAAGCCTGGTCCTGGCTGTGTGAGGAGAAGGCTTGGACATCTAGAAAAACCCACCTGACAATGCCAGGTTCTGTTTGGAAGCGCTGCCACTTGGTGGTTGCTGTGGCTGTTTATGAAATGGTGGGTTTTTTCACATTGACTTCTGTGGTCAGTCTCACCCTGAACGTTTCCAGTCCCACCGTAGCGTGTCCCTCGCTTTGAAGTACTGGTCTCTCCTGGGCATTGGCAGCCAAGAGTGTTTATCCAGGTGCTGCAGGTTCCTTGGCTTTTGGGCTGTCAGCTCCATGCCAGCCCTTTGTGTGTGGTGTGGCTGGGAGGTGGGGATATGGCATTCACCTAACCCACAGCCTACAAATTCCCATTTCTTTTTTTTTTGTTTTGTTTGTTTTCCTTTCTTCCCAGAGAACATCCCTCGGGAAACACTGATGCATTTTGCGGTGAGGCTGGGCCTGCTGCGGCTGACATGGTTCCTGCTCCAGCAGCCGGGAGGAAGAGGAGCTCTCAGCATCCACAACAACGAAGGGGCAACACCCGTGAGCTTGGCCTTGGAGAGGGGCTACCAGAAGCTGCACCAGCTTTTGACAGAGTAAGGATGATTTGATGGTTCCTCTGCTAGTTTTCCGTTCTGTGTCACGCACTCCTTTGCTCTTCATTATCACTAAATAGCATCTAAAAGCTATACTCTACCCTTAAAGGCAAATTTTGTATAATTTCACTTTTACCTTTCTTGCTAGCAACAGTAGAGGCAGGTCCTTAGGGTTTAAGGGAAATGCAATAATATCTCCTTTCCTGTTGCACAGTGTTCTTCTTCCAGCTGTCTCTAAAAGCCCAAAGTGAGTCACTATAATATTGACTAATTAAGACAAACTTTGTGCAAACACAAGTGAAAAAGTTTTTCTTCGAAGAAGCACAGCTGCCCAAAAGAGGGGAGCAAGTGGGCTTTGTGGTGGTGGTTGACTGTTGTGTTTTTACTTTATAGATTTGGAGTTTTTTGGTTAAACGGAATAATGGTAAGTGTATTGAAAGAAGGCAACATCTTGTAGAGATACCAGTAGAGTTAAAAAATTTGGTTTTAATTAATTAATGCCAGTATTTAACAGCAGAAGCAGTTCTCTCTCGAGATCTTCAGAAGCAGCCAGATTGAACAAACTTGTAGAAAGTAACCAGTGGCACGAGCATTTACTGCAGTTTTTTACAAGGAATCCTTCGGAAGATGACAAGTTCTTTTTGAATAATAAATGTTTGGAGATACAGCTTTAAAAGCTGAGGCTAATAACGACAAAAAGCTTAAATAAGTCCCAAAGGTTCTACTTGTAAAGGAGAAGAGATTTGGTCTCCATGTGTGTTATTCTGATGCCTGGTTCTCTTAAGCTTGTTATTAACTTTGTTTTTCTGAATTGAGTTCTCAGATACTTGGGGTTTATGTTGGGTGGCCCAATGTCATGTTTAGGAGTCTGCTGTGTCGTCTACATTATCACACAACGTTTCTCTGTTATGAATTGTAAATTATTCTGCTTTCTATAGTTGTTGGATGGAGCATTAGAGGGCAAAAAATATGATTTGTGGTATTGGTGTGATTGCATTTAAGGAGAAGGTGCAGGGTGGGACAGGAGCTGTACTTGAACTTTTTCTTCTGCCACACTTGGCTGGGATTAATACAGAAAGGATGACAGTGTTTTTTCTCCCTCAAGTTCAACAGTCATACTGTGAAAACACACAACTCTCTTGCAGGCTCTCTCGTGAAAATGGAATGCGCAAATTCATCGTATAAGCTAGCAAAATTCTCCAAGGTGAAACTAACCATGTTAACAGACTTTACAGACTGTCAGGAAGCTTAAGTTGGCCAAAACTCGATTATAGAAAGCTTAAGTTGGCCAAAACTTGATTATAGAGCTCACAGCAAATCCTGCAGTTTGAATATGGGTACAGCTTGTAATTTAAAAAGAAATGGGAAGTAAACAAGACTATTACAACAGCTATTCATGCGTTTGGTGGAGTATTTCACAACCAGTTCCAATACTGGAATGGCAGTTCTCTCTGAGTGGAAAGAAAGAAGAGCAGCACTTGGATTACCTGGCATTGCCCTGTGCCATTCACTTTCATGGATGCTGCTCCTTGGATGATCCAAGGAGTTTCTCTGGTGACCTTTACAGTTCTTACATCTTTGAAAATGAGTGTTCCTTATTAAACGCAAGACTTTGTCTGTAACTTCTTCTGCAGCTTCTGTAACGTTACCATCAAGATCCTTGAACCCGTTCCTTTTAGTATATCCTTAAACTGCTCATTATGGTTAGTTTTCCTCTTGGACTGCAGTGTGGAAATATAATGTATAAACATCTGAGAGCCCTGCCACATACTCCGTGACTCTGAACCCCCTGGTGTCTCCATGAAGCCCTGCAAACAGAAATCTGTGGATGCTGGAAGTCGCGGACCCCTTTCTCAGTGGGTGGGATGGTGGTGAAGCACCACGGTATGAGCTGGGTGGGATCACGGTGTGACACGGGGACCACCACGGCCCTTCCCCAGGGGAGGGGTGGGGGTGGCTGCAGAACGGACACATCCTGATTTCCCAGCAGAGATTTTTGGTTGTGCTCAGCGCTTTCGTGCGAGGAGATGGGATCGAGGCTTAAAAATCCCTGTTGAGAGGAGAAATATTGAGTTTCAAAATACAGAAAAGCAGCCAAATTCCACGAGGAGAGTATGTATCGTTTATGTGCTGTCAAAACACAATGGATACTGTGCAACCCCTTTTCTGCACTCTGCTCGTGCGCACGCTGGATAATCCATGCACACAAACTTGGCGTGCAACTCCTACCACTCAGCAAAACACAGAGCAGCAACGCATGGTAGCGAGAGCCCCAACAAAGGAGTCATTATTTTTACAAGTAATTAAACTGCGCTGCACCAAATAAATGAATGCAGTGTGTTTTGGGATGCATTATCCTTGGGGGGGATTTTATTGTTCGCTTGCTTGCTAATTTGCAGGACCCCGCATTTTACAATGATTCTCCCAGCCAGCATTGGGAAGGGGTGAAATTTTACTGTAATTAGGATACAATCATTAAAAAGCAGACACAAAACCTTCTCCGTTGTTGCAGTTTTGCCAGGGTTCGGCTGCAAAGCAGCTTCGTTCAGCTGGGGTGTAAATATTTTTTTCTCAAAAACTGATGAAGAAGCTGGTGACGTTTTGAATTTCTGTTTATCAGGTGAGCTTTCCCTTTTCAGCCACTGCAGTTCTTCATATAAAAAAAAAAAAAAAAAAAAGATGCTTCCAATTTAAATGTAAATATTGCAGCCCTTGAAGTATTCATTTCTGTAGTTTTGAGCTTATGTACTGGCTCTTGCATCCTCTGGCAGGAAAGGTGCATGTGCTGCTGCTTTTGGGACCAAACTGCTGAGCTGCCATAGAGCACATGTAGGAAGGGGAGCAGGATGCTGACAGCAGGATTTATTCATTGGCTCTCTATCGTTCCTAAGGGTGCTTGTTTGACCTTCGAGATTAAAACCGCACAGTAAAACATTGTCCTACGATGCAAATAGGATAGGGCAGTGCATAAGGGCAGGAGTTTTTTAGAAAAAATAAAAATAAATCTCTAGGAACATGCTTGCTTGCTAGCAGCTTGGTTAACAGTTTGGTGGTTTTTTTAAAAGATACAAATGTAAATGCAATTTAAATAAATTAGCTTTCCTTTCATAAAAAAAAATAAAGCTTTGGAAACTAGGCAGGTTGCGTAGCCCTCTCTGAGTTCCAAGGATTTCTGAGACAAATTCCGAAGTGAAGGGTCCTTGGTGGAAGCCTGGTTGCTGAAACTGGGCTGAAACTTGGGGGGGGCTGGTGGTGTGGGGCTGCTCCGCTCGTTAGAGAAGGGCTAGAATTTATTAAAGAGGGGGTGGCAGGCTCCCTGTGAGTACCTTGGCCTCTGCAGGAGGACAGCTGCAGGTTGCAGTAGTTGATGTTTTCGGATGCAGCTCGGTGCAGTAATACAATCTGCCTGCCAGCTTCCACGGTCCTCGCTGCTGCCCAAATCAGGGGAAAATGGCTCCAGGGAGCAGCGGGCGTGCAGGATTGCAGACAAGTGGGAAACACCGCTTTGTCAAACGTACAGGCACTGATTTTATTTCTGATTTCATTTCTGCGGAACAGAGTTCCGTCGAGTAACCCCAAAGTACTGTTTTTTTCCATGAAGCCAAATGCTTCCTTCACAGCTGAGAGAGATTTATGTCCCCTGAAAAAGGGGAGTAAGGGGAAAGTAAATCCCGTAGGAAGAACTCCTGCATTTTTCCAGTCCCTACAAAGGAGAAGTTTCAGAGCTGTAACAGTCTCTGAGTTTTTTGCTCTAACGTTAGTTTTGCCTTTTCTGGTTTCTCTGCTTGCTATTGCTATAAAGCACTTCTGGACAGCTCTGGGATTGCTCTTCCTTCACATCTCCTGGTAACAGCCAGGTGGCTCCGCGTGTGAGACTATAACTCAGTGCAAGTCTGCATTTCCAAAATTAAACTGATTTAATTAACACACATGAGGAATAACTCAGTGGTAGAAGAAGCGTTTTATGTGTGTTTTGCAATCCATGATTATCACTTGCTATTGTTCTGATTTTACGTAAGTAATTGGTGAAGTCTGTGCTGTAATCTCTGTGGTGCCTCTCAAACAAGGAAGCTTTTTCAGTAACTTTACTTTTATAATTGAATACACTTTTTTGCTTTTTGGAGCCAGAGCTGGAAGAGGATTTGCCCGGTACCTCATTTCTTTGCACCCCAGTTTAGCAAGTCCTTTAAGCATGTGTTGAATTTCGGAAACGTCCAGTTCATGTTCAGCAGTGAGTTTAAGCATGGCCTTAGAAGTAGACATTTCTTACAGTGCCTTGTGAAATCAGGGCGGTATTTAAAGGTGGACATTTTTCATTGAATTTTGATGCTAAGTTGTTCCCTTAAATTCATTCTTTGTGTAGGAGAAGAGCTGTCTGTGGTGCAGATGCTTTCCCAAAATCGCTGGTTTCCTGGGGCTGAAAACATTGCCAGTTGCTGTGACTTCAGTGGCAGATCGTGGCACCTCTATGTAACCAGGGTCCTTATACCCCTGAGAACGTGTGGGCTCAACCCCCCCTTTCCTGCGTGCCCTCTTGTTGTTATTACAAGGGAACTGTGTGCAAGGCTCTGAGTCTCCCCTTGGGTGCACCAGTTCTCCCAGTATTTTCGTACAGGGACGATGAGCAGGATGCATCTGAGGACGTGCTGGTGGCTGGAAGGTTGCCACCACACTGGGCAGGTGGTGCTACACATATTTCTATTTCTGGCTAAACAGAATCAACGCCCTTGGGTGCACCAGTTCTCCCAGTATTTTTGTACAGGGAGGATGAGCAGGATGCATCTGAGGACATGCTGGTGGCCGGAAGGTTGCCACCACACAGGTGATGCTACACATATTTCTATTTCTGGCTAAGCAGAATCAACAGCTGGAGAGCTTATTGAAGTAATGCTGATGTTTTTCCTCTATTCTTCACCCTAAAACAAGCAACAGGGCCTTTTGATAGTTATTCAGGGTGTTGGGCAGTAGGTTTAGGGTATGGCTTGGAGAGGAGAACAGTTGACTTGTCTCTGTAAGCGCTGGCACAAGTTTAACATTTAAAGGTGGATTCCAAAGGCGTTATGGAAGGGCAGTGCCAGAGGACCTGGTGGAGATACGTGTGTTAAGAGGATGCTGTTTAGCTACAAAAGCATGGGAGGAGCAGCAATCCAACAGGGTCTGGTTTCATGGCTGTGTATTGCTGAACTTTAAGATTATTGTTTGAAACACCATTGCTTAATTGATTGATTATCGTGATTAGAAGGATGCTGAGGTGCTGTGGGTTTCTTCTGACCACAGCAGAGGAGCAGGCTGGGAGCAGGGGGACCGAGGAGCCAGGTGTGAACCTGATGGAGCAGGAATAGTGTGTGTTTCTCTCTCTTCACCTAATCCCCACTGCGTGCTCCAGCTTTTACTGGTTTCCTAGTGTGTTCCCACATCCCTGTGAAGACTTGTATTTTCATTTGTTGGCTCCCTGCTCTCGTTTGTTTTGTATGTATCTACCTCAGAATGCAGAAGAGAAGGAAGTGGCTTTGTGTGTATGGTAGAAAGAGGTTTTTACTGTCTCTGATATCCCGCTCGGAAATTGGAGGTCCTGGGAGACGTTCGAGTAAACAGGCCTGTGAGGAGGAGAAAGAAGAAGAGACTTGGGAAGATGTGGTAAGATAGGAAAAGAAAATGATTCCCCCCATCGCAATCTTGTTCTGGAAGCAATGCCCAAAATTATAGGGACCATAAACCCCTATAATAAGGCTTGTGTGATTGGTAAGTGATTGTGATAGACCAGCTCCGTTTCAGGATAAATTTAGAAAATGCAGATAAGTGATTTCCAAGAACTGCTGGGTTTTTGGCTTCAGGCATGGGTCAGCTGGATACCCAGCTGGATACTCCTATTTAGTCTCTGGAGCAGATCTGCTAGAAGTAGTGACATTCATGGTGGGGACTGAAGTTAGAACAGATTATTGTAGGAGAAGACTTTGTAAACTGCTGTATCAGAGGCAGCCAAAGCAATGGCTTCATCTTTGGGTTGTGTTACAGGGTCTGTGGTCACCCTCACTTGCAGCACGCGGAAATGTTCTGCAGAGACAAAGTCTTCCTTCCATATCACTTGTCCCGATCTAAGATGCTGTTTTTAGCTGTAAAGAAAACATTGCTTGATGAAGTAGTCTCCATGACTGTGCTTTTGTATTTAAAATGCAACAGATAGCATCTG